GTAGTCTTGTTACAAACTTGAAGAGGCTTCGATAGATATCACTATGATAATTGTCTTTTAAATTAAATAAAAAAATTGAGATATTCACCTATTCTAAATAAATATTTGATAGTGATAATTTCATTGTGTATTATCAAAATTATTTATTTAATTGATGGTTTAACATTTAATGTTTTTAAATCATATATTTATGATTAAATTTAATATTTTAAGCAATTAAAAATAGGTAGGAAGTTTCAAAAGAGTGGGGGGACTCATGGATCTGGACCCCCAGAATTTTTTTTAAAAATAAAAACATTTTAGCAGTGAATATTGCATACTGTCTACCTATATTGTATTACAAATAGTTGTATATTTTCTTAAAGCACTATGAACGAGAATAAAGTTTTTATATAGATATTGAACATAAAAATGTGTCCAGTAGTCAGTACCTATTTATCTTGTAGGACATACCATATATTATATTAAAAAACCCCCCACCAAAAAAAAAAAATTGTTTTCAGTTATGGCCTTGGGTATCATATTTATTATAATAAATAATATAATAATTATCAGTTTATGTCAAGAATGAAGAAATTAACAATAGTTTGATGAATTATGAATATATAAAAAAATATATTCTTGTACCTAACATCAATTTGTTTTTATTTTTCTTCATAATTTCTTCACATTTTTAAAAATATTTGCACCTCATACAAGCCATATTTTAGAAGTATCCCTTTGGAATTTTCTTAAATATTCAAACGACCAATCCTGGCTCATTTGTTACCCGTCGTATATGAATCTTTTACAGATTAAACCTATAACAATAAGACATCAACACTAGATAGTAGGTATCCAATAGGTAAGTACCTTGATGTTGGCTGGCGGCTCTTCAAACGTTAACAACATGTATCTATCACCTCGGCTCTCTGAAGATCGCTGTCTAACCTATATAAGGGGGAAAAAAATGTAAATAAAACAACCAGTTGAGTCGGTTCATCGCGACGTGCAAAGGCGACAAATGAACCGACAAGAAGGGTGACGTGCGGGTGGGTCGAGGCGCAAACCTTGACAAAGGACTCGACGGCCCCTTTGGCGATATCCAAGAGCGTTGGTCGGCCACCCATGTAGGTCCGCTGGCACATGGACGCCGAGGTGTCGATGAGGAACACTATGATAGTCATGCCTCAGGAGCGGCGGGTCGCGCAACGGAATTCAAAGACGGTCGGCGTGATGACTGCCGCCGGAGTAATGCATATTTTGAAATCGAAACGGGCGCGGAGCGAGGCGGACGAATGCGACGCGGAGATGACGTTATCGCAACCGACACGAAACGTAGTGCGGAGCGGGCGAGATCATACGTGAACAGTGACGGCCATTTTTTACTGTTGTCAGTGGGAATTCGGTGCCTGTGCGGTCGGGAAACTGCAAGTGGAGCGCGCGCAAACCGTCATTCAGCAATGGACTTTTACCATTGCGTCGTTGTCGAAAATGACTAAATGAGCTCGCCGAGAGAGGATTGTCGATTCCGCGAGAGCGCGCTGTACCGCCGGCGGGTAACCCGTTCGACCACCGCTGCGGGAATCAACAAAATTGGTGCGGATGGTGTTGCGGCGTTTGCGGATTGAGGGGTGTGTTGTTTATGACCGTGGGGTGGTGGGAGGGATAAATCATAAATCGACATTCGATGGACGTTCGATGTTCGAACCGTCAATCGACCGACGATTTAGTGATTTAAAGCGACTCGCAACACTAGGGCACACCCCGGCATCGACTTATAAAGATGGAAACTCGAAAGATAATTATCTATAGGTATATTATGTCAATTCTCGCGACGAAAGACGATCTCAGTATCGCACAGTATCCATATTGGTTCGACCGGATTCGCGATCCTGTAATCGAATGGTTTGTAGTTACTAGTTTTGTGCTTTGTACGATCTCCTATCTTCAATTCTTGTTAAAGGACGTGGACATCCATAGCATAATGAATTATTATTATTACTCCTATTTCCTTACAAGTCTTAAGTTATTCCTTAGTCCTTACCATGGTAGTCAGTGGACTATATTCTATGTCGCTACTTGTTAGTAGTTGTTTCAGTTTTGAAAAAAACCACAGATATATGCTACTATATAGTATAATATACTACTGTCTACTACTATTATAGTATATAAATATATAATAGTAGTATAGTATAGTAGTATAGTATATATCTGTCATCTGTGGGAAAAAGTCATTTGTCCATTGAAATGATTTTTGCATGCGACCATCGACCGATATCTCGTCCGTCGTGGTGGCAGCACTGCATGAGTCAATGACATCACCGTTTCCGAACACTATGTGAAATACATTATACAATATACATATCTCCCGCCTCCCGGGAGAACGCGGTCTACGGTGTCGGAGTGTGGAGTGTAGTCCCCGACTCCCGGTGTCCGACGACCGACACTCCACGACAGTCGGTGCCGCAGCCGCTGCTCAGTGCACAGTGTCGCAGGACACAGTTGCACACCGCAGTTTCGCACCAGTTACCATTGGGACTCGGCAGTCGGCGGTGCCGGTGTGGAGGTCGGTGGAGTCATATGCCGCTGGTCGCTACGTTTATTTTAGAATATAAAATTTTTCTCCACAATAGTTCTAAGTAAATTAACATCGACTCCGAGTCCCATTCGTGTTCACGACAATGTCAGTATTATACGGTGCTATCGTTTTTAATAGTCGTAATAGGGTGAATTTTTTCACTAAAATTGTCATTCTTTTACATCAAGAATTAAAGAATCTATAATAATACATTTTACTTTATTATAATATTATTATTTATTAAAAATTTAAATATACCTAGGTAGTAGGTACCTATAGTTAATAACCATTTAAACCTAATATGTAAGTATTTTAGCATTAATTTTATAATAACTATTTTTTTTGTAAGACATAAAATGTAATCTATTAATATATGGTAGTAGTCTAGACAAGCCTAGTACTTAACAGTTAACTATTCTAGGTATTTTAATGTATTATTTTATATTTATATTGTTATTTGTAAATGTGTAATATAGTTTGTTACTAATGTTACTGATATACTAAGTATATACAAGTAAGAATGTTAGATATTGTTTAATAGGTACTTTTATCAGACTTATTTCAAAATGTACCTACCTATAGTTTAAATTTTAATAATTATGAATATTCAAACTTATATAACATAGGTATATCTAGGTAACTGTATCTGTACCTATAAGTACTGCCAGTACTGGGTAGTATTTCATCATATAAATACCTTATATTATTATATATTTAAATTATAACTAAAATTGTGTAAAACATATCCTATAAAAGTTTCAAGTTTTTATTTTACTATTTATTAAAATTATCAAGTTTTACTTGGATTTATCAATTAAATATTTTTATAATTTAATATTTGAATAATATGTACCTAATCTTTAATCATCCCAAGTATTTTTAATTATTATCATAAATTATATGGGTATTTTGGTATTTATATTTTTACTAATAATATTGGATTTATTTCAAATTTAGTTATTTAGTATATTAATTTAAATAAGTATGTCTATTAAAATATTTTTTAACTAGTTTTTCAAATACTCTAAACATTTTGGAATTATTTTAATTTGATCTTTAAACAATAAGTATACCTACATAAATATAATTATGAAGTATTAATAAATTAAAATAATTTAGAGCTTATTGTATTAATATTATATATTAAATTCTTATTGTTTAAATAAACTCCTCAAAATCTTATTTATGTTAAAATTTCAACAAGCAAATGTCAAATTGTGAAGTGGTTTATACCAACTCTGTACTCGTTTGGCATATCAATGGTACCTACCTATTTTTAATCCTTGGAAATACATAGGTACTTGCATTGAATTAATTATTAGTGTATAATTTATTCTGTTAGCATACTTCTGAATAAATTATAGTATCTTCTGACTTCTAGTGATTTGTGATTAACATGCTCTTAAAGTTTACCCGTTATAATAAAATAAAAAATGTAAATTGAATAGAAAAAAATAACTACATGTAATACCTATCAATAAAAGAAACTATATTTAACAATATAATTTATAATTAAAACACATCACGCTTTAAAATACATGATATGTTTTAATGTGTGTAAAGAATGTAAATAATAACTAACCAACAATATATTGTTTAAAACTAGAAAGTAGAAAGTCTTGATTAAAAAATATTACATTTATTGATCACTGTGTCTCTTATACTTAAGAATTTGTATGTTACTTGTATTTTAGTGTGTTTATAAACTGTCATATACCTTAGATATTTTTTATGTTATTGAGATGTGTTTAAAAAACCTTTGAAGATTCTAAATTAAAACAATATAAAGTAAATTTAATATGCATACTTTACAAAATATTTAAGTAGGTAACTAATATTAATTATACTACGATAAATAAATATGAGGGTGGTTACTATGTATTTTGGTTATTTATGATTTCATAAAAAATTCAGATGGGATTCTATGATCTTGTTGTGTAGAATATATGTACCTATGTGGGGAATAAATAAAATGTGTTAGGTACCTATACATTTCCTATACCTTTACAATTCGAAATATAAATATAAGAGTAGTTAGGAACGCAATATTTAACTTATACAATATATTTTTCTATAGTAACTATATAAGTATATAATTATATTATACTTTTTAAAGTGTTCCCAAAAATTGGGAAAGATGATAATCTTAAGAATATTTTTAAATATTGCTTTGATAGGAACATAGTCTGCATCTATAGACCTCAATTCACCAATATCATTATTTTGCTAAGCACACAAATAATATATTATAACATAACAATATTAGGAATATTATAATAGTGGATAGTGAATATGTAAATTTTTAAAAAAACATTTTTGACTAGTTTTATTTTGTTAAGCTATTGAACACAAACGGTTATATTTAAGTTTACTAGTTTACTTATTAATCTGTGCTTATTTTAAGGTATATTTTTTTGTTTTAATTGTAATGTAGATACCAATGGCTTTTCAAGAATTCAATGATACTGGTTATTGGGGTAAACCTACAGCTACCATTGATTGGTGTGAGAAAAATTACGAAGTAAATTACTATGTTGCTGAAATGTGTAAGTGGATCAAAACTAAAAAGTAGTAAATATTTTAAGTATTTTTTTTTAATTTATTAAAGGGAACACTATCAGTAATTTAATGATGATAATACCTCCATTATGGGGTATTTGGGACATGAAAAAACAAAAATTTGCACAAAGATTTTTTTTTTGTTATTCATTCATTTTGGGTACGTAGAGTGAACAATACAATTATTTTGATAATTTCAAATAAGTATATGACATTTTTAGTGGTTGGTTTTGGCAGTTTGGCGTTTCACATGACACTTTTGTATGAAATGCAGTTATTTGATGAATTACCAATGGTTTGGGGAACATGCTATTGTGTTTATTGCTTGTAAGTTTACTAAAAATCTAGTTTATATTTAAAATTCTAATTTAATGTTTATTCTTTTTTTTTCAGATCAATTGTAAAACATGATATGAGATCTAAGATTATTCCGAATAAACTATTATTATTAGCATTGATAATTATAAGTATTGGATTTGCAATAATCTATCTTGCTTGGCCACAACCATTACTGCAACATTTTTGTTATGGTATACTAGTTGCTATATCATTGGCACAGGAAATCAAATTAATATTAGAATTTAAATGTGCTGTTTGTAAACGTATGTTCATCGTCGCAATAGCGCTGTACCTGTTTGGGTTTTTTTTGTGGAATATAGACAATATACTCTGCAAAAATATTACGTAAGTTTTTGTTTGACACATTTTTAATGAATTGCTATATTTTTATATTGTACTTTTTTTTCAATACTATTGAATTGAAATAATTTGAACCCAAAAATCCACAAAATTCTGACAAACAATTTTCACGGATACTGAAATATCATAATATGCTCCATTTTCACTTTTAAAAGTAAAAACCTTATAGTTATGATTAATACATTTTTTTTGCTCTTGGCTCTCAATTATTTTTGATTATGCTATGGAGATCACAATTTATCACTGTCTACCCCTGGATTGAACGAAATCCTAAGTCATTGAAACTAAAAACCTAATAACATATTTTATATGGTATCTTATTGCCAAGACACCTAAATCTTTGTAGATATGTTTTAGATCCTTATAGAATAGATTTATTTAAAAAACTTCTTACCATATTATGTTGGTTAGCTTGAATGTTTTTATTATGTTATCATGAAGTCACAAAGTAGAAAACATTTCATGAGTTGAATGACATTTTTTAATATAGGTGTTGATATTGTGTAAATCTATTATTCAATATTTCAGAATACCAAAACTGCATATTGTATATTACATATAAATACATAATACAAATGTTTTATTTTATCTAAAAATAAATATCCATATCAACATATTATATTACTTAAAAGCTTATAATACTTTTAAATATACCGGATAATTCTTTTATCAAACAACACTCAATATTTCAAAAAGTGTAAATTTTTTTGAAAATATTTTTTTACATACTTTCAAGTTGCTTATAAAATAACGTTTTTATAAAAAAAATATATTTTTAATTTGCACTTTTTGAAATAATGAGTATTGTTTGATAAAATAATCATCCAGTATGTATTTTTGTGTGTAATTCAATAATTATATCTTTGTACAATCAAAAATGTATTATAATTTATAACAAAAATATTTATGTTATCGTAACTACCAAAGTTGTGGCAGTAGCTGTTGCATAACATTATTTTTAAAGCACGCACATTTAAAAATAAAATAAATTTGATAGTTTGGGAAATTAATTTTTGTTTTATATGTCGCATATTTTGTTAGATAAATAACATTGAGCATCTAAAATCCCACTAGCCATTTATCTTGACAGTTCTTTAAACTTTTGTTAAATCTTACATGACTGCATATTCAATTGTTACAAAGTTTTTTTTAAAACAGCCATGCTTAGTACCCAGGCATGAATCCAGAAAATGGGTGCTCAAAAAAATATTAGTTATATCTTTTTATTTTAGATTCCGTTATACATTATACAAATTAATTTTATTGATGGATTAGACGACAAGTTGCCGAGCACCCAAGGCCCCCCTCCTTGTAACCGTGCTTGTTAATACCTAATTAGTAATTGATAATAGAAATTATTATTTTTATAATTTAATACAACACATATTATGTTTGGATGAAACATTTAGCTCCTATTCACTTTCAATACATCCATAAATTAAGGTACTTCTAGTAGTTTAATATTTAAAAAATAATAATCCTTTGTAAATTTGTAATGATTAATTGTATGCAGTATTGGTTTCTAATCTTGGTAATCTATGAATTGATTTACACAATATGGACATTCATATCATGAAGACATTTTGATTATGTCAAAAAATGTCCATCTATTTCATGAGTTATCCATATTGTGTTTAAAAAAGTGGACATCTACTTCTCGAAATGAACAATTTCATTAATTAATGGATGCAACATTTATATATACTTATTTTATACCTATTTTTATATACATTTATTTTTATATCTACTGTAGTACCTATTTGAAATCTAATTATCTATCTATTTATTTTTATCTGTGCAGGATCTTAAGAGAACAGATTCCAATGTTTCTTCAACCATTCACTCAAATGCATGCCTGGTGGCATATATTTACAGGCTATGGAGTTTATATTCAAGTTCTATTTTGGTAATTATTTTTAAACATTTGCTTTATTTAATAATTTGATTGGTTTAAAATTTCTTAATTATTCCAATTTTAGTATTCACAGCACATATGATTACCATAAAAAATATAAACATTCAAGTGTGCTTTTACCAGAACATATGTATTTTAGTATACGTTGGCAGAAAACTACAAAAAGTTATTAACCTTTCAATATAAATCCATAGTAAACAAGTATATTATTATCTTTGTTATATACTTATTGCACTTATATGTATTTTGTTAAAACCTAAATGAAACTAATATAGTAGTTAGATACCAATTCAAAATTAAATTATTAAATTTTTTTTCTATTATTTTACTGTGGTAGTATTATTTTTTGATTCGAGTTACCTAATTATATTAAAGTTTATATATTATTTCCTAATTAATTTTAAACAAAAAATTTGATATTTTTTAAATTTGAACTGGAAGTGATATACCTAATACCTATATTATATAGAAATTAATTCTACTTGTTTAAATAATTTATCTAATTTGTTTAAACCTTTTGTTATTTTTAGATTAATAATCAAACCATGTAAATCACTGTTTCCCAACTTTTTTTGGTTTTTGTTTATATAAAAGCATCACTTTTTTCACAGATTTTAGATTTAGAATAAATAAAAGGAATAGGAAAGGAAATATACCGATAAGCAGTAGTATCGCAATAAGAAACAAGTCATGATTATTATCGGTCTGTGTAATACTTATTGTTATCTACTTGCCATTATATTCGACTATTAACTGTAAACACAACCCCATAAATTAAAATAAATTATATATATAAATGAATACTATTATTTCATACAATTTGTAAATGGAAAAAAGTCGTAAGTGCCATGGACCACCTGGCAACTATGACAGGCCCAAGTACTTTTGGTTGGGAAACACTGATGTATATAATTGGATAGTCGGTGGTTGAATTAGAAAGGATGTGGATGTACAGAATCTTGCTTTTTTTAAATATATTATTGAAGCGCACCTTTTGAGTTTTTATATACTGCATAAGCTGTCTATATTTGATTTTTGTAGCTTGAGTAACTTACTGTCTCTCATAAGTTTCACAATTATTAGTTACCTATGTAACTAGTTGCTTTCATAAAATGATTAATTAAGGTACAAATAAAAATAAAATAATGATTCATACTTGTAAAATTACAAGTTAATACAAGAAAAAATTAACTTCGAGTTACAATGTTTTGTAACATAGAAATTAGTTACCATCTTACTTTGGTATCAAAATGTACACACATTTTTATTATAATTGTATTTATCTTTATTACTATTATGCACTGAGTACAATTATAATTAATAAATAATATACAAAAAGACGATCTTTCTTGTTAAAATAATTACTTAAAAATATTAATCTCTAACAGAATAATAGTATCAATTATATTTTTTATTTTTACTTTAACATATTGGATATTAATTTAAAATAGTTATTAACTAATTACATTATAATTTCTTGAAAAACACTGTAAAAAAGTTCAAAAAGTCTCATGCATCGCAATTATAGTTTGGATATTTAATATAGATTGTTTTCCAAATATAAGTCATCTTATAAATTTCCTAGACTTTTATATGAAATAATTTTGTTAATGTACCTTTATATTAAACAAATATGTACTTATTTTGGATTATGTGAGCTCTGTTTAAAATCATGAGTGAATGCTGTGATTTATGCTATGATTTTTTGTTGGCTTTACCTTCATAAACCTACAATTCAGGTTTCAGTAACTCATTCTTTTTTTTTCTAATTGATAGCAGGTGACTGCTGTTCATCAGCAGTTAATGATCTTGGTCAATCAACCTTCCATTTAAGTTCTGCACTTTTATAACTAATTTATATTTAAATTATAAGAAATATACATATGTGATATATTTATTTAGTTTGATATGGATATTATTTATTCGTTTAAATTGTAGATTTATAGAATATTTTAACTATATTTGGGTAGTTAATTAATGATAATATTATTTACCAATATTTATTTTTGTTGAATTATATAATGTTAAATGTTAGTCCATGGCTGAGTTAAAATGTATACAACGATTCATTGAGCTTGTTTATCACTTAATTTTACACATTTTGTTCTTTTTTTGTTATATATTTTAGTACCTACCTAGTAAATTATTCTTTAATTTTTTGTTTGTATAAAGTTTATATAATTAATGTATTGATTGATTTGATCAATGTAGCTCAATAATATGTAAAATTTTAAATAGTACCTCTATTTAAAATTAAATAAATGAATAACTTTGTGGAGATTATATTAAAAGGCACTTAGTTGCTTATTCTAAATTTAAATTTGATAGAAGAGCAAAAACAAAAACAATGTTATAATGTTTTTTAATGAATGATTTGTAGTTCTTTAAGTAGGTATACTTTATATTAAAATTATACACCTTAATCTAATCAGTGTAGATATATTTAAACTGTATATTTAAAGATTTAAAAAACAACAATTTAAAATAGAATATTTTAAATAATGTCAAATCTTATAAAAATCAACTGAAAAATAAGTAACTTTGTGTCTTTTAGGGTCAACAACGGGTAAAAAAATAGAATTGTTTATAAACATGCTTTGTGAATTATAAATTAACATAATACAATGTATACAAATATAATATATTATATTATATTATATTATAATATACAAATAGTATAATACAATTCTCATAAATAAATGATATTATAATATGATTAATACATTTTTATTTTTATTTAATTGTTAGTGCTTTGCAAATATTTAATTGCCATTTATGGTACTTGGCTCAATTTATTTTATTCGAGATTATTCATTGTTATACCTTTAAATGATCAATTGGGATAACAACAGAATATATACAGGGTGTCCCGTGAGGATTTACTCATTGCGATATCTCCTGAAATAATGGAGATATCGTAATTATGTTTTTTTATTAAGACTCGCAGAGGTAAGCACTACAAATATTTTATTTTTTAATTAAATTAAATTTTTTAGTAAAAAAGTTAAAAAAGTTATTTTTTATTTTTTTATTTTTGAAAAAATTGAAGATAGCCATTCTATAGAGTATATTTTTGTGAACATTTTGAGCTTTTAACATTTTATTTTCATTAATCTCATGATTTTTAATAATTTTTTTAGTTTATTAGTAAAACGTCAATAAACTGGTTTTTGTCCGGGCGGCGAGTCCCCCTCTACGGCTAATGAGTCAATCCTCACGGGACACCCTGTATATGTCAGGGACGCCAAAATGGTCCGGTGGCAGAGAAAATATTTTTTAATAATTTAGACTTTCTAATAAATAATAAAATATAAAAATTCCTTCTATGTTAGTTAATTTTAACTTTGATGCAGTGTCAGCCTGGCACCAAAGTCCCGGGGATCAGGTTTTTAAAGGGACCCTATAAAAAAAACATAGGGCAAAAAACAATAGGGTCGTGTCCAAGCTGACCTTGCTTGGATACTGACATAGTTCAGTCATGAAAGGACAGAAATACCCACCATTGGAATTTTTATTTTACTAACGTCCACATAATAAATTAGAAAATCATTTCTGTGTAATTTTTAACTGACCAAAATTAGTTATGTTTTAATACCTTATTTTATTAAATTGATCATTGACCAGTGGCGCAACTAGGGGGGTGCTATACTGCTACCCCCCCCCCCCCCTGACTACGATTTAGTATTTTTTTTAAAACAAACGAAAATTTTTATCGACGTTTAATGAAAAAAACACTAAACAATATTGAAAATGTAAAATTTCTGAAGTAGCTCAAAGCCCGTTTGATTGAGGACCTTTTCCGTTTAGTCACTGCCACTAATTTTTTTGGTTTTTAGTAGCTGTTCAGCATTGGTCGGTATAGGACATAGGTACCCCACTGTTTTTTATTCCGTGATTTTATTTTGCCCCAAGAATTCTCATAATGGTCTTAAGCGTCGATTACACTGAGCGAATTTACTCTCTAGTCGTTGGCGAACAAAGTCGCGCGTATGTGAGCGTGTAGGCTTGTCCAATTACACTGAGCGATTAAATTCGCTCTCTCGCTACCAGTCACTACTTGCTGACACACTAGCGATTTTTCCAGCTATTGCGCTTACATTGAGCGACTTTACTCGCTGCAGGAGTGTAAAAATACCAGCGATTAGCGACCGGCCGTCAACTTTAATCGCGGGCGAGCAGCGAGTATTCAACACGCGGCGAGTACCTAAGCGACTAGACCGACTACGTTGAGCGAATTTAGTCGCAGCGAGTAAGTTCGCTCAGTGTAATCGACGCTTTAGTGTTAGCTAAAGTGCTAGTCATAGGCGCAAATAGGGAATTTTGATGTGGGGGGGCAGCTTCAGCCCTACCATTTTTCAATTAAAAATTATAAGTTGAGGCTTTGAGTCTTTGTTCCCATACCATTAAACGATCCAAAATAATCATTGAATTATTATTTTTAGTTATAATCACTAACAGCTGTAATGTTGCAAGATAAAAGCTTAATTAGATAAAAAAAATAAATGTACACAATTTTATTTTAATTAATAGGTATTTACAAAATTAAATTAATTATTCTTTGAGTTTTTGCAAAATTATTTAAGATCGATTCCACATCAATATTTATATATTTTTCTATACTAAGTAAGCCCAAACTACTATGACGAAATTGATATCTATTTTCTACAATATTATCGTGCTAATTGCTAAACACAAATCTAAAACTAAAACTATTAATATTATTTCCTATAATAGTAATAGGTTTATCGTTTATAATTTATATGTTATTATGCATAGGAACACTATACAAAACCTTCAAAACCTCTGAACAATTTTTATAAAATATGACTACCTATACCCTTGATTTTTTAGATTCTGAGTGGAACAACATATTTTGCACCCTCACCACAAAAAAAAGTTATTTCTTAAAATGTAAAGACTTATAATAGACCTAAAGGTACTATTTTGTGGAATAAATGCGGTTAGCTCTCAAACGATTTTTGACTATTTTTTTCGGATACCTATTATAACCTTTTCAAGTTTTGAAGTCCGCAAGTTTGGGTATTCCTACCAGTCGTGGGGGGAGGGGTGTTTGTTTTAATAAATTACTTTATTGACAATAAAATAAAAACTAGTACGATAGGTATAGGTAACTTCTGATTTCCCCAAAATGTTAAGGATGAAAAATTCACAT